AGACTCTTGAGACTCTTTAGACTCCTTCGACTCCTCAGGCCCCTCACACTCCTCACCCTATTCAGACTGCCCAGACTCCTCAGACTCCTTAGACACTTTACATTATTTAGATTCTTTAGACTCTTTAGACTCTTTAGACTCTATAGACTCTTTAGACTCTTTAGACTCTTTAGACTCTTTAGACTCTTTAGACTCTTTAGACTCTTTAGACTCTTTAGACTCTTTAGACTCTTTAGACTCTTTAGACTCTTTAGATTCTTCATTCTTTAGATTATTTAGATTTTTTAAATTCTTCAGATTCTTCAGATTCCTCAAATTCTTCAGATTTTTCAGATTCTTCAGATTCGTCAGATTCTTCCGATTCTGTATTTTACAAATTGCTACTGGGCTTGGACAAACTAATGAGAAACTCAAAATTCATTGGATTCGTAAACACACACGAAACATTTACAAAAACTTTGAATCCAAAATTACCTACAACTAAATGTAATGTACCCCCAAACAAACGTAGTGTTCGTCACATAAAAGAAAATTTAAAAAATCTCAATATAAAATTTAACAAAATAGCACACCTGCAAATTCCATACAATTGAAATGTATTATTAAATTAAGTAGAACAATCAATCTTGTTCTTAAATCCGGCTTACATTATTTTAAACAAAGATGAAACCACTTGCGGCATCACCGGTCTTTCTCTAAACCAAAAATGTGCATCTTATCACACTGTAGACTAAGTTCTCTAGATTTTAAATCTCATTAGGATTCTCTAAATTTACTACGTCCTCCAGGTTGTCTAGATTCGCTAGACTGTCGAAATTTTCTAGATTCGCCAGATCTCCTAGGTTTTTTAGATCCTACGAATCTTGTAGATTTTGGATTGCTTTTAGACACCCTAATTCTCCTAGATACCATGAATGTAGTAGATTCTTTGGATTCCTTATATTCTTTGAATGTTTTGGATTTCTTGGATTCTTTCCACCCAAAGAACCTCTTTGGGTTAGATACAATCAGTTTTATTGATTCTCTAGATCTGCTAGGTTCTTTGGATGCCTAACATTCTTCGAACATTTTGAATTTGGATTTTTTATCCCTTGTTGATTCTTTGATTTCCTTCTTTTTCTTTAGATAATCTAAATTTACTAAAACCCCTCTATCCTCTAGATCGTGTAGATTCTCTAAGTTTTTGTAGGGTCTCAATATTCCTTAGATTATGCAAACCCTGTAAATCACATCGGTACTGTCGATTCCGTAACTGAAACCGCAGATTTGCTAGACATCTCACATTCCAGGCATCCCTCCAATTACACTGTTGTGCCAGTTCACGCGGTTTGGACGATGTTTAATTTTTGTTTATAGGATAGGAAACATCTGGAAATTAATATCTGAAAAGCTTATCTCGTGTTTTTCTCCAGTCGTAGATAACAGTTGCGCTTATCGTGTTAATTAACTTTGTAAAAAAATGTTATTGCATGTGCGCGTTTAGATAAGAGAATCTTGCGTATTTTAAGTAAAGAATTAAGAAGTGGAATCGATGATGAGATAAGAGAGGGAAATGCGTTAAATAGAAGGGAAGGTGTTTTAACGGGAAGCCGTTATTTTTTGCCGTACGCCTTGGCCTTTTGTCGTTCGCCGTTGCCTTTTTTGCCGCCGCTGTGTTTTGACCGGTGGGTAGAGTTGGGCCCGTGTGTTGGAGTCACGCTTTGTGTTTTGTGTGGGTGGCAGTGATCCTTTGCCATTGAACAATGAAGCACTTTCTATTTTGGCGCCCAACGTGGGGCAATGTAGATCTTGTACATTTATGTAAATACTGTAAACCCTGTAATCTCTGTAGATTATTTATCTTCTCTAAGTTCTTTGGATCCTCTAGATTCACTATGATTCTCTAGATTTCTCTGGATTCTCCTGAAATCTATATCTCGTATATCCAGAAGATCATGCCAATATTGTCAGTTCCATAGATTCTGCACATTACGCGGGTTAATTGCATAATTTCGGAATTTTAAATCCCACACTTGGCTTGCCCAAATTTCACAAGATTCTAAATGTACTATGTTCTTAAACACACGTGACAAAATTTAAGTCATTACAATCGGCCCTAAATGCCGTTAACATTTATTTTCTTATCCAAACCCATTTGCTTTTAACACAATGTCCCTTTTACACAAAAATAAAACCTAACAAATAATTTCTAACTAAAAATTGCGTGGTATCACAGCGTTGATCAAGACATTTACCTAAGGTTTCAAGTTATCATGTGCGGTTTTGCGTAAACAACCTAAAACTTAACACCTTTCATGTACCTGTTGATTGTCGCATTCGCTGACAAAACTCTTCCATCCATTAATCCAGCGAACATTGTCCGTTAAACAAAGAAAGCTCTCACCAAAAGCTACAATAAATCAGTGGAACTGTCTGCGTCACGCATTAATTTAGTAAACCGCATTCAGCTGCTTCCTGAGTTTGTGGTAATAGCGCGATATGTATCAAATTTGGTTAGTTCGTCGTCTCTGAAACTTCCGACTATCAGCCGTATCTATCGATTCACGAACTCGCTGATGAGTTTGCGTCTCTCGCGAAAGAGAAAAAATGCCCCAATAAAGGGAGAGAAGTTGGTAATAAAATCGATCCGATCCAGATATTTTGAGCGGAAATTTATGGCGCTCGGTTGATTGCCGCGCGAAATACTAAACTTCATAAGCGTCTTTGTTTTTTGGGAAAAGATTAACTTTCTGTTATTCAACACTCTATCACAATTTCTCTTTGGAGGGTACTCGAGTTTCGGGGTGGCATT